GCGAACATCTCCAAAGACAAAGAAGGTGGGTCATGGGGTGAAGTTTTGTTGAAACCATCAAATCCCAAACATACCTGACTACCTAGAAGCCTTGCAACATCCAGCTGTTCCAAAGGTAGGCCCAGAGCTGAGATGCCAACACAGGTGGGTCAATACCAAGTTCTCAAGCCTCTGTGAAGCGTAGTTATTGGTCAATTCATCACCCATGCAGACAGATACATACACTTCTTGTCTGTGTAACTACGCTAAAATGCCTAGGGACATAGCATACACTCACCCAACACAAAGCATTATTTTAAGATAAATTACCTTTGGCCAAAATTTGAGTAGTCTGGGAAGATTCACAGGCTACCTGGCTGAGGAGGATTTCCAACATGGGAGACCTTACATTTATTTAGCAGCTTAAATCCATTAGGCTACAGGACTGTCTATGAAATAAATTTGTGTTTTAACTGTTTCTCTTGTCTAATCTCAAAGTCTCTAGAGCAAGCAGTCTTTTGGTTGTGGCCAACTTCTCTTCTCTGTTCCTGATTCCGCTAGGAGCAGTGATTTCCTGATGCTGATGTTTTTCACCAGCAAAATAAGAGTAGGGGTATCTAGTCCGTTAGCTACCAGCCCTAAGGGCAAGAATTTTAAGCTGCCCGATTCTGTGAGAAAATTACGCTTCTCACTTCACTTGTCTACAACTTAATCCACAGAAAAAGTGATTTACCAAGTTAGTCAAGAAATGAGTAAAAATGAAAGCTGGAGAGAGAAGCTCAGTTTGCAGGGGTCAAGTGCACATGGCCCAGAAGGTCGGGAAGGCGATGAAAGCTGTCTTGTAAGGAAGGCACCTGAGCCCAAGAGTCAACTGTAGCTACAATATACTTTAGATTAAAAGGGAAAACTGGCAAACAGAAAGGGAGCTTGAACCACTACCTGTGGTTCAATGACCTCACCCTTCTCCTCCCATCAGTCCTTAAAATTAGCTATTTTTGAAACGGGAGTCCAGAGCCCCCCGCTATGCGAGCTATGACTCCTGGAGCAGGCTTGCTGCATTTTAAGTTTTCCAAAGCGTTTATTGCTGCTGCCCGGAAAAGCAGGAAAGGATGTAAAAAAAGGATGCTATAGTGCAGGAAGCCAAAACTGATCCACCGTGGGATGGCATCAGCTACTTCCCTTTTGAGTGTCACAAGAGTGACGGTAGATAACTTCCTCAACAGATGACATCCTGATGACAAGCATCTTTACAACATTAACCGCACTACCTACCGTAAGTAGCTCTCTGGCAAGGTTAAGTAACATAAAATTTAAAATTACTAAGTGAATAAACTATAGTCGTACCAATCTTAACCTTCTAAATGAAGAAATGGCATTGATACTTGGTGACTGAAAACAGAAGTAATCTTGTGTCAGATGGCCTACCAGAAATCAATTTTCTTCTGTGGGAGGCAGGGAGAACAGAGAACTAAATTTGCTATGAACATGAACATTATTTAACTTCAGGCTTTGATAAATGGAAATCTGAAATTTCAGCTGGGAACTGTTGTTATAGCATGAGTATGACTACCCACTGTATGGTATGTACCCGGGGGTAAAGCTAATAGCAGGAATCTCACATACAACTCCCTGCTCCTGACCATACTGCCCAGTGGAGATGCTGAAGACACTTCCAGTCGCCAGGCTAAGCACTTTGCTTTTCAGATGGACATTGTGTTAATGTGCCAACTTTTTCCTATTAGTCATTTAGTATTAAATTTTTGTGTCCTTTAAACTAAGATTCTTTCAAGAATCACTGCCCGAAAGTAAGTGATTGAGAATCCACCAAGTATGAACTAAACTTCCATGCCAGAGGTTTTAACAGTTTGCTGTAAAATTTAGCTTAGGTCCCAAGATAAGTCTGAAGGACATCTTAAGGTCACACGGAGCCCCTTCCTGCCAGTATTTCAATAGACTGCATTTATCTGCTACTGGTATCTTACATGGAAGAAATGTTGCGTTTTCTTGAGAAGAGTTTGAATTTTCAACAAAATGTCAAAACATTTCTCCCAGGGTCAGTATACCTTGACTCCATCCCTAAAATCTCTCTCTTTGATTTCTTACACTTACCTGTAGTGTTAGTATCTCCAGGCTCAAGTACTACGTACTACTGTGGACACTTACATAACTCATACACACATAATGCTGAAATCTGTTTTCCGTTCAAATAAAGTTTAATTACTGTTATTTATTAAATGCTTTGCAAGGTAATACAAGAACAGATTCTAACATTTTGTAAACGTGATGGAACCTGAGCTGTGTTAGCCTTCTGCTTTTAAATCTGTTCTGAACCTCATATGCTGCTAGTGCAAATGCAAAGTGATGCAGACAAAGTCAAGTCTGGCAGTTCCTCAAATGCTGAAACAATGAGTTGCCATGTGAGCCAGTAGTTCTATTCCTAGGTGTATATACCCAAGAGAAATGAAAACATGTTTACTCAACACCTTGTATATGAATATTTATAACAGCATTATTCAAAATAGCCAAAAGATAGAAACTACCTTGATGTCTCTCCTGTGATGAACGAAAGGTGGCATATGTGTACAATGCCATGTTATCAGCAATAATTAAGTACTGATACATGCCACAGTGTGGCTGAACGATGAGAACACAGCTCAGTGGAAGAAGCCAGTATGAAAGACCACGTACTACCTGACTGACATGGAAAGTTCACAACTGGTACAACAGTAGATGAGTGGTTGCCCAGGGCTAGGGGATCAGTGGGAAAGTGGGTGACAGACGCAGGGTACGGGGGTCTTTCCGAGGTGGGGATGAAAATGTTCTAAATTTGTGGTGATGGCACTACCTATCCACGAACATGCTACAGACCACGAACTGTTGACTTTAAACGAGTGAGCTGTATGTATGTGGATTATAACGCAATAAAGCTGCTATTTAATAAAAAATCTATTTCTGAGACATAAGGGATTTGAGAATTAGCAAACCTCTTCCACAGATCTTTTCTGGTCAACGGTAAAAGAATTAGTGCAACCAAAGTCCAACTGCCTACACTGTAACTGGAACCAGCCTGAAGTATTTTGATATGTGCATTTCTAAAATGTGAATGTTGTTTTAAAAAATCATCATTACATCAGATATTCCAGGCAGCCTGCCATGAGGCATTTACCAAAACCATTGAAAAGAAATCCGTTTACTCAACCTCAGAGTATACGTTTGCTCCTGTCGCTGCCTCTCCTTTACGCCGTCAGCTCCTTCAAACGCCCCTGACCAACAGAACTGGCACGATCACTTAACTCATTAATTCAACAACTATCTGAATTCTTACTGCGCTCCAGGCAGGGTTCTAGGTGCTGGAAACTACACACATATACACATGTATGTAAGCATGTATGTGTGTGTATGCATCAACATATGGACAGGAATAAGACAAAATTCCTGCTCTTAGAGAGTTTACACTCCAATAGGGCAAGATAAAAAGAAAAATAAATGCTGGTTTTCAAATTTACTTCAGACAGGGTGCCGCGCTTCAGAGGCAGTGGGGTGTTATTTTAGATAGAAGACCAGGAAGGAGGTGTCTCTGAGGAAGTAAAGCTTGAGGTGAGGCAAGAATGTGCCAGCCATGCACAATCAGGAAGATAATTCCAGGTAGAGGAAATAAATAACAAGACACGTGTGCTGCTGGTGACCAACCTTCTTCAGTAACTATTATCATCGTAGCGGAAGGACGGCTGGCAAAGGTGACTTGTAGGTTGTAGTTGGAACAAGCTTGCCTTGCCTCCCTTAAACCATGACAACATCTGAGGACTCTTCGACAAAAGAAGTCATCCCTGGTACGCCAAGTCTAACGTGATTTTCCTCTTTTCCTTGTACCCCTCAGCAACTGTTACTTATGCCCCTGCTCCTTTCAACCCACACTGGTGACAGGCATTATGCTAGGAGTCCTGGGACTTAACAACAGACCAGACATGCACTCCAGGCAGGAAAGAATCAAGAAGCACAAAAGCTTCAGGTACAAACAACTAATGAAGGGTAGAAATCAATGTGGGCCACCAAAGAGAGCTGTAAGATGGAGGGGCGTCCCGAGAGCACTTCCAGCTGGGGTCTCAGGAAGTTCATGGGGGGAGAGAGCAGAACAGGAGGGTGCAAAGAATGAGGATAATGTGTGTGTGTAGGGGGAGTGGACCTAGTCATGTATCCCTAATTAACTTTAAATTAGCAGAAATATCTGAAAACATCCCCACTCCCCACCCAGTGATAAGCTCAAGGACAGCAGGTCTGATGCTAGTCTCCAGCACAGACAGTGTTTCCCAGAGCTGCCCAAGTCATGTGCTGATTCATTCTAAGACTCCGAGGTGCCCACTTAGCACCGAAGGTAAGGGCAAATTACACTACACTGTGCTAGGAGCCCTGGGGGCACCACCGTTAAAGCACTTGGCTGTGAACCAAAAGGTTAGATGATTGGAACCCATCCATCGTTCCGTGGGAGAAAGATGAGGCAGTCTGCTTTGGTAAAGATGGCAGCCTTGGAAACCCTAAGGGGCAGTCTTACTCTGTCCCATAGGGTCCCCATGAGTCAGAATCGACATGACGGCAGTGAGTTTGGGTTGGTTTGGTGCTTCACAAGGAGGTTTTGGCCTTTAAATAGACAATTTGTCCAGACTTCTGAACACATTCGCTTCAGAGGGACAATCCTAGGAGTTCTTCTAAAACTACGAGGTATCACATATAAACATGAATATAATGTGTTTCTGAATAAATACATGTATAAAATGTTAACATAAGTAAATCACTCTACTTTAAGTTTAGAATCTCCAAAGATGATTTTACACTTGCACTGCTAAGCGGAAGTTAGTACTTAAGAGAAAACACTTTTTTCATTGATCAAACTTTCCCATTCAGGCCCTCGAAATCCCTTCCCATTCCCAACAACGAAACGGCTTAGCCAGGAGCAGAAAAGCCAAGCCACATTTCTTCAGGCAGTGCCTCAGTGTCTCCCCCAACCATTCCACAGCCAAACTCACCATAGAGAGCTGTCCAAGTCTGATTAATTACATCTAGACACACAGTTCCTGACCTGAAACAGATGGAAAGAATGGTATTTTTTAAAAAGCAGAAAGTCAGTTGCATGCATCTGGCAACCGATTTTATTTATCAAGGAAAACCATTAAATCATACGCCTGACATTGAAAGAAACGGATCCCAGCTGGGGGAAAGCATGACGAGGGGCAGAATACTCCCAAGGTCTTACGTGCCCCCTTAGAGATTAAAGGGGAAAGTAACTACCCAGTGGGGAAACTGGACACCACCTTCACCTGCCCGGAATCAGAGGTAACACTGGCAACAGGGCACCCAGACCTGTGCGCTTCCTACTGTGTTCCCCAGAGATCAGAATCTCAATTCTGTGGTTTTGGGGCCGGGACGCATATCCTACATTGAATCATAAGGAAACATCAGACAAACCCAAACTGAGGGGCATTCTATAAAATAACTATCTCTATGCTTCAAAAATGTCCATGTCATAAATGACATAGGCTGAAGAACTGTTCCAGACGGAAGGAATTACAGAACCATGACAAGTAAATTGCAAGGTGTGATCCTGGGTTGGGTACTGTACCAAGAGAAAAAAATACCAAGAAATACTTTACTAGAATATGGCTGCCATTAGAGAAAAAGTATTGTTTCACTACTGAATTCCTCAGTCTGCCAACTGCACTGTGCTTATTAAGAGACTATAGCCACTGTCAGGACGCATCCATAAATGCATTACAGGACAAAGCGTGGCGTATGTATACAACCTTCTCACACAGGATTCAGAATACCTTGTGTGTGTGTGTGCACGTGTATCCGTGTGTGTGCATACCAGCAAAATTCAGTGTCATGACAATACAAATAAAAAGTCCAAGTGCACTTCAAGTACAAAATGGGATGCACTGTTATCACATTTTTAAACACCAGTAAAATAATAGAAGGAAAAGGGATAATTAAGATCCATGAACTAAACCGAAGCTACAGTCATTCGTGTATGTTTGCCTTACTTTCAAAAAACTTCCAATCCTGCAAAGGCTGAAAATCACGAGTGTGTCTACTGTAAGCAGATCTGTGACTGCCACTGCACAGAGCCTTGACCTGGGTGGCAATAATGGAAAAGCCTAAGATACACAATAGTGGGATGTGAACTAACTGGATGCAAATATCACATCCCTAGGTCTCTACAGTTTAACTGACCATTTATACTGTGCTACTCCTACTTTTAAAATAATGAAGAGCAGATGCTGCTAAGATTTAAACATTTTTAAATGGTTACTTACGCTTCATCAATGTTGGGATGGAAAATTTTATTCATGAATCCTGTAAAAAGAGATGTTAATTAGCAGCAAAAAGTATCCAGAAAACAATTAGTTTTAGCCCCTACAAACAATTGCAGTTCTGGGAAAAAGTGATTAGACCCCAATAATGACTTTCAACTGTCAATCTTTCAAGATTGATAAATTATACTCTCCCGATAGCTCTAATTACTTAAGATACATAAGAGTTCTACGAATCAAATGAGCAAATTTTGGGAATAATTAAGCTTGCTATTCAAAATAACCGTATTTTTCGCTTGAGCCACGACTCTACTCACCAAAAGGGACCTTACATTCCTAAGTGATTTATAACTAGTGTCACGATAAAGCTTAAGAAACCTCCCTCTGACTTCACTCCCCAAATTTGATTGTTCAATCTCCAAACGTGGCGGTTCTGCACATGAACTTCTCCTTCTGAGGTCCATTTACTGGCACCGTTCTGACACCATGTGCATAACATGAATGAAGCTGGGCAAATTCGGAAGGAGCACCCCTTCCAAACCACAAAGGGTGTCATCAGAACAGTGACCAAAGTGTTTCCTTTAACTCTAGTCTACTCAACCCAGGAAACCCAGTTTTGATGAAAATTGTGCCAAGCAAGAAATAAGGTAGAGTGAAATATATCAAACAATTTATGTTAAGATGGCTGTATCTGACAGGGATCTTAGTTGTTTGTTTAAATTTATTCCTGGAAAAGCAAGGATCAACTTTAACAAATATACTGATATTTACATTACAATGAAAACGGACTTGATTTTCTAACTTACAATCAGTGATTTGGTCAGCTTGTATACATACAACTGTTATTCTTAAGCAGAGATTCACATCAAAGCTTCCATCTGTCAGCTCTGTCACCTCGTTTCCTTTAAGGACTTCCATTCTATACTTCCAATAAACTCAAGTTCCTCCCTAAGGTCACCATCACCATCACTGCATCCCACTCCCACCCTCCTTTACCCCTCCCACCCCTCAGCACAAGTGCTTTTTCATTCATTCAAAACCTATTTGATCAACACCTCCGGGTACAAAAATTAAGTAAGAAGGTCTGGCATCTTGAGGAGGTTACTGTATGCAGTGTGACAAGAGACATGAAGAAATAACTGCAATGTGTATGGAGTGCTGAGACGGTGAGGTGGGGGTTTCCTCAGCAGAAGAGGAAGAGTCAGGAGAGATGCAGAGGACCTGGCATTGGAGGAGGGTCTTTAGGATGAGCTGGGACCAAGGGATCTCCACACATCTACGGAACTCCCCTCAAGTAGAAGATGGGAATAATTATGAAGACCCCGGGGGTACGGCAGTCCTCACCTGCTACTGATAGGCCAAGCGCTAATCATGGCTCCAAGTTTTGCTCTTAAACGCTGTGTTCATGCTTTGTCTACTATGATCATGAGCACCCATGCCATGATGATTACTCTGATGCAAAAAGAAAAGCCCTCTGAACAATTACTAGCTCATTTTCATTCAGAAAACTAACAATGGTTCAAAGTCTAGATTTAAGAGGTATGGAGTTTACAGAGATTAAGCCAATGGAGATGTTCATATTTAAACATTAAGAGGAGAAAGGAAGGATAAAAAGTTCCATGTGACCCTAGAAAAACACTAATACATATGTGTCCAAGGAGACTCATGAAGGTTGCAGCATTGTTTGTAAAAGCCAAGAACCAAAATGAATAAGCTGTGGTAAATCCATATACTGGCAGTCCTATATAGCCAAAGGTAACGAACGAGCTCATTATCATGTATCAATTTGGTGAGTAAAAACAACAAAAAACCCCACACCAAGTTGTAGAATGACATTTCAGCATACCGTTTAGGTAAGTTACAACAAAGAAGTACTACATGTTCTCTATGATAACAAGTATAGAAAACATTATTGGACCAACATGTGTAACACACGTATAAAACTAAGTATTTCAGGGAGGGTGCAGAGTCAAGGTCACAGTGGGAACAGGGACCAGGACTAGGAGTGACACGGTAAGCAGTGACTTATCTGGAACACCACTGTTCTTTTAAAAGAGCCAACGTGCTTGTGTATTACTTGTTTCTGTTTTTTAATGCACACGTAAGGCAAGAAAGTGAAAGCAAATACTTATAAATGTTATCCGTGTTAAATTCTCAGTGCGACACTTGCTGCATTGTAGTTTTCTAATCATCACACACACACACACACACACACACACACACACACACACACCAACTCCTGCCTTCCCTGTACCAAAACTAGGATCACAGCAAGAAAAAGGCTGCAAGCAAGCAAACAAGTGTTTCCCAGTGGTTATTTCTGGGCAACCCTCTCCCCAACCCCCACACACCATTATTTCTATCTACTGTTCTGGCTCTCCACAATTTCTATAATGTATAGCTATAATAGTTGGAAAAAGGAAACCTTCAAATAAAAAGCTTACAAACAGCATCACACACTCTATAGCAAACCTAACTGTACGTCAATTAACTAATGCAGAATCCTTTGAAGGCAAAGAGTCCCCAGATCAATTGCTCTATTTGACATCTTGCATCTTAAACACTCTTGTTTTGGTAATAGAAATTTATAACAAACAAAATCGGAAAATTCTCAGTTAGGAAGCACGTGGCCAAGATGAGCCGTACAGAGGGCTACAACACTACCACAACGGCCAAGGGACCTGCCAAAGAGTGGGAACAGTAATGTGTGGCCACCACGTGGTTTCACGTAAGAGACTGGCTCCATCACGTGAAAACCATTTTTCTTGAAGCTATAAGATTTAAACTTTGTTGCTGCTGCTATTTGAAACCATGCCTCTGCTAGAGCTCTCAAACCTAGTACCCAATGAAGCAACACTGAGGGCAAAAGTTCCCAGGGTGGGCTATAGCTGAGAATCTCCCAGAGAGCTCTTTAGAAAACAAACATTGTGTTAGGAGGCACCAAGTGTTACAGAGGAAAACATGGTGAAGAGGAGGAGCAGGGAAGGATGGGGGTGAGGACTGGAATTTTGAATGGGATGCAGGGGAAGCCCCAACTGACAACCAAGGAGGCAGGCGCAAGCCCCTAGTGGACGGGGGTCTGCGCAGTTTGAACAGCCAGGTGAAAAGTGCATGACAGCACCAAAGAGGCTGGAGAAACGGAAACGGCACAAACAAGGGAATGGAGACTAGAAAAAGAGATTGGCAAGGGGTTCTGCGTGTGTGGGCCCTTTAGGGTTGCCAGAGGTCGTTGAATGACACAGGAAGCTACTGAGCCTAGTGCCAGAACAGTGATACAGACACACATCCCTCAACTTTTACAGTACTTTTTTCAAGATGACTTGAACCTTAAAAAAAACAAAGTGTTTAGGGAGACAGTGTCATCAGGTCACAGTACCTCGGCACTAAGGAAGAAGGACCACAGGAATAGTGGATTCAGGCAAAATGAACAGGGCCATCTCTCTACAGCAGAACTGTTGCTAGCTGCCGTCAAGTTCGATTCCAACCACGGCAACCCCACGGGTACAGAACAGAACCACTTGTAGGGTTTTCAAGGCTATGACCTTTTGGCCAGGAGCTCTGGTAGCGTAGTGCCTAAGGCACTTGACTGCTAACCAGAATGCTGGACGTTCAAACCCACCAGCCACTCCTCGGAAGGAAGGTTGGGCAATCTACTTCCATAGTGATTAACTGCCTCCGAAACCCAAGGAGGGGTCGCTGTGAGTCGGGTCCGACTCGATGGCACACAACAACATGACCTTTTGGAAGATCACCAGGCCTGTCTTCCAAGGCACCTTCTGGGTAGATCTGAACTGCCAACCTTTCGGTTTTTAGTCAAACACTTAACTCTTTGTACCACTCAGGCTTCAACAACATGATGCTGCCGTAATGAAGGTGAAGACAACAGCTACAGTGAATAAGAAATGTCAAACGTTTATAGTCTCTGGAAGATGAAAGTGCTGTCCTCATTGTACAAGGCCTGGAGGGTTACATTTGGAATCAACATGGTCTCTACATTATTTTCGATCAAAGCTGGATTTTGGCTTGGTTGAAGCCAAGAGTAGGGCCAAAAAGCACTTAGTAAACATGTCCTTTTGCAATAAATGGGTTGAAGCCCAGTCCACAGTGGCCCTGCTAACATCATCTGAGATACACTAGTAGCTCCAACGGCTCTAAGAAAGAGTGTAATCACACTGCAAAGACCCAAGGAGTAAAGAGGGCCTGGATTCTAGGTCAAGTCTGCTGTTAACTGTAGGTCCTGGGCACGCTGCTTCACTTCTCTGGTTCTATAAAGAAACCTGTATTTATTTTAAAAATAAACAAAAATCCAAAGTAAATAAATGATAAGGGGCATGTATCTCCTTGAAATCCGTTGGCGGGCAGGCTGTGGGCAACACTTCCGGCAAATCCATTGACTTTCTGGATGATGATGAACAAGAAGGAACTTCTGGATGAGGGGGGCCGGGAGACTGAGAAAGAACAGGCGAGGAATTCAGAGAAGGGCTGTTCTCAGGACTGGGCCTGTTTGCCCTGGCACGTTCTCCTTCCTTTTGGCAATGCTATCATTGCACTCTAACGAATACGTCTGCAACAAGAGAATTTTCCCAACACTTGTTTCCATTCAACCAGGAACTATTTGGAAGATATTTTAAAAGCACATATTTTGAAAACGGTTTTTATGGGAACACAGTAAGTAGAAACAGCAAGTCATTTTTAATCTACAAGATTTAAGATTTCACTAACATCAGACATTTTCTAACAAATTTCAGTGACCTGACCAGATAAACTCAGAAATCCTTTGTTTAGCCTTTTGGACAATTATCCTCTGCTCTGGCATAGTTCCAGCACTTGGTGGGGGAAGTAGACAGATAACAGGAATGACTGTCGAGCCAGAAAGCCTCTTTTCTGTGTCTCTTTGGTAGAAGCGATCAGTAATTCTGGAGGAACCCAGAATTACTGCTTAACCAAACACCAAACCCAACCCACTGCTGTCAAGTAGTATCCGACTCATGGAGACACCTCCTTTGGTTTCCGAGGCGGTATCACTACAGAAGTAGATTGCCC